TGTGTGTGTGTGTGTGTGTGTGTGTGTGAGATTCGGTCATTCTGAGGTCAGTAGATGTATGGTGTTTGTATGGTCAACATTAGTAGGTTGCGGCCCTACCATGTGTGCCCCATTACTGCCCAATTTACATATTCTCACTCTGTCTCCCTCACACACACACACACACACACCCCTGTACTTCTATACTTGTGAGGATACTCATTGACATAATGTATTCTCTAGCCCCTAACCTTCACCTTATTCTAACCTGAACCTTAAAACCAAGTCTGAACCCTCATACCGGTCTTTGAAGGTCTGTTCGGAGGTGAGGACCGGCCCAAATCTCAAATCTCAAACTCAATTTTGTTCTCGCAAAGATAGCTGTAAACGTACACACACACTCTGGTAGAATAAAGAAAGAGGATAAAAAAACAAATAAGTTGACAGATTTCACACCACGGCTCATCTTTACTCTCATCAACGTTGGATTGTGACAGGAACGTTGACGTAAATGATATCATCCGTAAAGAAAGAAAGAAAAGACTGAATGACAATGTGTGTTACAACCCATTCATATCACAAACTAATGAACTTATCTCATGTACGGGGGTTTCCAAGCACATAAGACCGGACTAAAGCCATGATTAAAAACATGGTTTTGCTCTCTACGGATCTCTGCTGATAACAGCACACGGTTGTTTGAAACACAGCCTTGACCCAATTGGATTAGCTGAACACACTTACCCATTTGTCCTTGTTATTGGATTAAAAGAGCCAATAGGAATTGCTGTTCAGGTTTCTGGGAAGGCTGTCACTTCCTCATTACAATGCTAATTGGATGGTTAGTAATTAGAAAGCAGATGTTGCATTCAGCGTCTCGCGCTCTGTCTCTGTGTGTCTCTTTAACATCGCCTCATTTATTCCCCTCTACTTTCTGCCGTTCCTCCCCTCCTCTTCTGTGTTTCTCCTTCTCATTCTCTCTGAACTTGAGGTGAAAAGGACATTGTTGAATATTGTTTCACTCTGCTGGGGGGGGAATGAAACGGGAATGTCTCTCTCTTGAGAAGACCTCCCAACCAGGCCCGAGAGTTTCCCAGACCACTTTACAACTGCGGCACAATCCACCCCATTGTCCGGTTGTTTTTCTGTGTCTCCGGACTCGGCGAGTCTCTGCTTGTTTGTTGGCCATGAAAGGGACACCAAGAGAGACCCTGCCCCCCCCCCCTTTCCATCTTGCTTTTTCTCTCTTGACCCTATCTTGTTTCTGATGTGTTCACTTGTTGGTGCTTTAAAGAATTCTGGTCACAGCTTTGATCTTGATCTTGGACTCTAAAAAGTTGGGTTGCAACCCGTAATGTGTTGCAGAACCACGGGGTCCCGGCTCAACAAGTGTGTGTGTGAGATATGCTTTCATATGTCTGGACCCTGGGGTGAGGGAGGAAGTTTTTCTTTCAGGTCCCAGCCGGTGAAGGATTTTTGGGGTATGCTGGCGTTGAGCTGATGTTGAGTGATAATGTGCTCATGTGGAGTCGAGCA